TGCGCGTGTGCGTGTGCGCGTGCGCGTGTGCGTGCGTGTGTGCGTGCGTGTGTGTGTGTGTGTGTGTGTGTGTGTGTGTTAAAAACAGAGTGAAAAAAACAATTTCCCCCTAGGGGATCAATAGTATCTTCTTCTTCTTTTTCTTCTTCTTTTACAGAAGTAAATATGGTATTAGTAGCACTTCCTAAGCAGAGCCTACATCTGTGACAATGGCTACATGATATAACCTAATCAACCTTGGGCTATTGCAAACATATCAGAATTGTGTTGTATTGGATAGCTATGTTATCCAATAGACTTTTTTTTCCCCCAGGATATAATGCAGAAAAATTGTTTATCCAGTAGAGTGTGCTGTGACTTACAATACACAGAGTAACAAAAAATAATTATTAGTCATCTCTACTACTCTGCTTGCTATTGTTGTTGCTGTGAATCTTTGTCTCTGTCTCTGTCCTTCTCTCTTTACCACCCCTGTCATGCAGCACAGAGCAAATTACATTGGCAGGAAGTCGGGCAAAGAAATGCCACAGAGAATCTGATTCATTTTCAAAATAAAATACCCCTTGCAAACTTTGGTTCAAATTTCAAACTATGTCAAGCACTAATACCAGGGAAAAAGAACAAAATACACTGGGTTTACCGTATGATTTTCTCATGATTTTATTTATTTATTTATTTATTTTTTAAAAGGGGGGGTTTAATCAGACTTATTTATTATTACGCCTGCACAATTAATTGTAATATTATGGTTACATTTTATATAGATTATATAATCGAGATATATCTATTTTTTTTTAAAGCAGCACTTTGTAAGATTCAGTAATTGCTGCGATTTGGCAGCCTCTGTGCAATACCACTTTGAATCTTCAAATATTTGTATTGTGGATTAACTGTCTTGTGACATATTGTTACATTCCTAGACAGAACATATACACTTCTATTTTGATCATTAAGCTGTCTACACAGGCCGTGCAACACCTCATCTTTCTGCCACTGTAAGTGTTATAAACCTGAGGCACAGGTCTAACAAACTTAACGTACCTCTATCTAGGTCCAGGACCAGATCCGGGTCATCACGGAGTCACTCTCGTTCCAGATCCAGATCCCGTTCACATTCACCCACCAAGAGACGCCGTGGCGCCAAATCTCGGAGCTCCTCCCCTCCGTAAGTCGTTCACTGCTCTTTGATGAAGTGCCTTCATAAAAGACTTTATGCCTTACTGTAGTATAGATGACCACCTCTCCTGCTCTCCACAGCTCCACATCAGTGTTGGGTGCCCCTCTCTCCAAACTGTCTGCAGATACCAGGCTAGGGGAAGAGAACAAGGGCCATCAGCTGCTGATGAAGATGGGTATGCTCTTTCTTTTTTCTTTTCGTTTCATTCAAATTGCTTGTTCAATTTTCCAGTAACACAATTTGAGATGTTTTTAATGTGGTTTTCCGCCCTGAAACACAGGCTCTGTATGGAACGTATCATAAAAAAGTAAAATAAACCTAAAAATTGATTTATGTTGATTTAAATTGATTGTATTCAAATGAAGTGTGAAATGTGTTCCATGTGCCCATTATAAAAAAAAAAAAAAATTAATGAAGTTTTCAAAAACTTTTATGAAGATTTGTATACGACTACATGTTCGGCTAGTGATGAAGACTTGAACTCTTTCTTCCAGAAGGTAAAGCTTCCACAACTGTCTTCAGAGGAAAAGGATAGTTTGGATGCTCTCATAACGGAAGCTGAAGTTAGAACCGCAATCAAGGGTATGAAAACCGGGAGGTCACCTGGTATAGATGGTTTCCNNAAAAATTAATGAAGTTTTCAAAAAAATTAATAAAAATAAAATAAATAATCCACCTGCTGTACACTGATCTCTAGCTTTCCTTCTATTCTTTCTGTGTTGTCCCGCTTGCTGTAGGGTGGAGTGGTTCAGGTGGTTTGGGGGCTAAAGAACAGGGCATCCAAGACCCCATCAAAGGAGGAGACATCAGGGATAAATGGGACCAGTATAAAGGTGTGGGGGTGTCACTGGATGACCCTTATGAGAACTATCGAAGGAACAAGAGCTACAATTTTGTCGCCCGCATGAAGGCACGAGAGGAAGGTACATGCACAGACTTTTATGTTGGTTTGGACATGCAATACCATGCTACTCACATTCAACTATAAAGATAATGCATTTCTGGTACTATACTGGCCCAAGTATAAGAAAGTATTTTTATTTGAATTTGTACTGTAAAAGAAGGATATTGGATTGCACAAGTTATGGAAATATTATCTACATCACAATACGGCCAGCGTAATATGCAGATTGCAGAAGCTGCGATATGTTGATGAAGGTAAAATATATGAAAACGGAATCAGAAATACTTTAATAATCTTTAAAGAAATTATTTCGTTACACACTCCAGATACAAATGGAGAGATATATATATATATATATAGTATATATTATATAATATAGTACTATATATAGTTAGTATGATATATACTATATATAGTTAATAGTTATAGTTATAGTATAGTTAATAGTTAGTTGATTATGAATAAAATAATAATAATAATGTATTTGTGATGCAAAAATTATCATCCACAGCTACTCCATGCACCCATATTGCAATATCTGCAAAATAAAGCCAATATGATTGTTGTTACCATGATTGTGCAGCCCAAATTTGCACCTATTTTATACCCCTGGAATTGGTATTTAGTTTTATGGAACACTATTAGTTACGCATATTTACTAGATAGTATTATTTGTATTTAGTATTATTATAATCTATTACATTTAAAATAACTGTTCTCTTCATCTCTCTCTT